TAAAGGGCGGTTCAGGGGGGGGGGAAATCCGGGGGGGGATTACCACCGGGGGGGGGGGAAGGGGGGGGGAATTTTCCCGGGGGGGGGGGGCAATCAAAAAAACCAATTATAAAAGGGGGGGCCTCCCCCCTTTTTTAAAAAATCTTTTGTTTTCCCAGGGCCCCCCCCGGGATTTATTTTTTTTTTCCCCCCTTACCCTGTTTTTGGCTGGGGGGGTTTAAAACCCCCCCCCCTGGAAAGGGAAACCCCCCCCCCCCCCCCCCCCCCTCGCTGGCCCAACAACAACACACAGCAGTATAAGAAGTACCTTGTAGCTGCTCTCGAACTTCCCGCCCGAGATGCTGCGGAAGAGCGCCCTGAGCAGGAAGTAGTAGTTGGTCGGGTCCTTGACCCTCGTCGTGTACCGGAGGCAGGACAGCACGATCGTCTGGAGGTGCGGTCGGAGCATGCGCTCGTTCTTCGGGAAGAGGGTCACGCTGCCGAAGACCACCTTGAAGAGCCGGAGAAGGACCTGGGCCTTCATCCTCGCCCGCTTCTCGAGGTCCTGCTAAGGCGAAACGACGCCCGGAGGGAGAGGAAACTTGGTACATACGCACACCGGACGACGGTATGTACGGCCACATTGTACGCCGGCAAGAAGAGAAAAACAGACCGTCAACTGCTATTCCGGCAGTTGTGCCGCATTTTTTTCAAGTATGGACCCAACCAGACGAGAGCGACCCATTCTTCAAATACTTTTAGGATGGCGTCTGGCGGGCTGAAGCGTCTACAACCTCGAGACCTACCCTTCTCTGGCCACCTACAGAAGGTGCTTAACTCGTCACCCAGCCCGCATTCCTCCACGCCAGCCTCCCCCTCCCTCCACACACGCATACCACAAAGCCTGTCCTTTCGCGGCGTCAGAGAGGGCCGCGATGGAACTCCCTGCCTTTACTCTTCTTCCCAGCCCAACCGACTACGCCCCCCCCCCAGCTCACCTTGTCCTTGTCCCCGTCGTTCTTGCCCTCTGGATCCTTCTCGGACCGGGGGCGAGCCGCCGTGACCGTCGTCACACCGCCGCCGCCGCCGCCGCCGGAGCTCTCGCCGCTGTCGCCAGCCGCCTTGTTGTCGCCGGAGGCAGCCCCTTCCATCGCCGCCTGCCGCGCCCTCCACACCTATTATCGATAGCACATCAGAACCGGGGGGGGGGGGGGGGGGTAAGGAAGGATTGTGATGGAGGTAAAGTGGTGAGGTAGGGTGGGCGTGAATGTGAGGTAACGACGACTTTCACGCTCCACATACGCCACAACACCGCTGCCACCTGTGCCCCGAAGTGAGAAGAAGACGCCGTTCGTAGCATTGCATACGACGAAACAAGTTGGCCCCCATGGACACGAGTCTGCCCCTTGCACCGTACATCAACAAACGGTGAAAAGTGACGGAAAAAAAATAAAAAAAAATGTGTTACGTTCCTCATGCACGACCCCGCCTCGTACGCCAAACAAATACACCGAAAGAGGGCACGAAGGTTGAAAAAAAAACAAAACAGAACAGACGGGACGGAAACAAAACACACACACACAAACATCCAAACACCCACTCCCTTAAACACCACTTGCCTCTTGAGGTGTTCTCTTCTTCCTTGGCTCCGCTCCGCTGGTTTGACGGGTGCGGCGGGATGGCACGGGCCTCCTGCTCGCGCCGGGGGCGGAGGGCGAATGACACAGCGAGAAAAACAACGTAAAAAAGTTCGGATTGAGGGGAAGGGGAGTCGGTAATTCTCATGGCCGTGGTATTCAGATTCATACCAAAATATCCTTTGCATGCACACATGTAGCTACAAAGCCGTGGCGGAGGGTTTCCAATGACGAGGCCGGCACCACCCTAAGAACCCGGCAGTCAAGAATTTCAGCCTCGAATGAAACAGAAAATTTTTAAGAACGCGGGCCACAAGAACAGGTGCTCAGCTAAATAATCTTACGCTGCACAGTATTCGATGTTGCGTTGCGCCACAGAGCGATGTCGGACTGATCGCAGGTGTAGGCGCGGGTGTGGGTATGGGCAGTTCCCAGGGTCGTTCAACCCGAGCGGGATGCCCACACAAACCTTACATGCCACGGAACCCCCGACCTCCCCTTCCCCCCTACCTGCTCTACGCAAACCTTACATGCCACGGACTCACCCTCCTCCTCCTCCTCCCTCCTGCGCCGCCTATGCAAACCTTACATGCTATGGAACCCCCCCCCCCCCTGCTCGGTCTATGCCCCAAACCTCACCTCTCTTCGTAGCCAGCGAGGTCGTCCATCTGATGCACCAAGAAGGACAAGAGGACGTCTGCGAAGGTGCAGCTGGCGGCCTCGTTGGCGAGTAGGTGCTGGGGGATGGTCAGGAGGGAGGGGTCTTCCAGCGTGGAGTCGAACAGTATCGAGATGTGCCGACCCACCTGTTTCCGAACCGCGGGGCATGAGACGGATAGCGCCCGAGCAAGAAAGCATCGCGGTAGAAACAACAAATTCAGCAGCAGCAAGAGCAAGAGGAAGAGTAGCAGCAGCATCGTCGTCATCATCATCATCAGCAGCAGCATCATCGTCATCATGAGCATCGTGATCAGCAGCATCAGCAGCATCATCAGCAGCAGCGTCATCATCAGCAGCAGCAGTGCATCGGAGCGAGCACAACGGTAACGTACCGCGCCACCGTGGCACCCGGCGAAGGCAAGGTTAGCCAACTCTCTACAGAGCAGACAACTAAACCACAATAGACACGTACCGCCGCCAAAAACAATCGTTCACTCACGCCGCCGCTGTCCTCAGATCATAATGCTCCGATACTTTGGCGGCGGTAGTCCACTTCGAAACACAACAAAAAAACGCTACAAATGCTGTATTGACCGCCACAGACCAACCGCGCGCTCACCGCCGTTCTCAGATCGTACGGCCCCAGCACCGTAAACGCCCCCGCGAACGCATCCAACGCGTCCTTCGACTCCGTGGGCGACACCGCCCCGCCGCTCTTGGTGAACACTCTCAGGCACGGGAGGGCCCACTTGAAAAACTTCGCCGTGTGGTTCCTCTCCTCCCAGGACATCGGGCGCCGTATAATGGTCCCTTGGTTGGACGAGGACGAGGACGACGATGAAGCGTTCCCCCCCGCACCGGAGGAAGAGTTGTCCTGCCCGGCCTTGGGCTGCCGGTAGTTGGAGCAGCACCAGATTACCGTCTTTAGCCCCTGGATCATCGTCTTCGCGAGAATCTGCCGGCCCGGGCCGGGGGGGAGGGGGGGGGTAGTCATGCATGTGAGAATTGTGAGACCATTGACCACCACGCGTCCTCCAGAGGTCGGAGCATGTTCCCGCAGGACCGTTCACCCATAGGGGGGGGCGATAAGTGTGCTAGCCGTCGTCTTGGGAGCCGATGATAACGTACACTAACTAAGACACCGACAACACCCTGGCGTTTCATACCTTCTGGCTAAGAAAGATGCTCACAATCTGCGACTCTCTATACATCGGTTCGCGCTTACATGATTCATTCCGGATTCGCGGTTGACGCCAACCATCCAACATGAATAAAACGAGTTTAGAGACTATTAACACCTTCCACAGCAGTAGTGGACATGTACACAAACGAAGATGAAACATCTAGCGTAAGCACAGGCGTTCTGCGCGAAACTTTCCAGCTTACCTTTCCCGGCAGGCGCACCCTCGCCGATATAGGCACCCGGCAACACAATCAAGCACTGGACGCGCAGCAACACAACCGCAAACCGGGGTGGCCAAAAACCCCACAACGGGCAATCCATTGAGCCATCACCCCGCTCCCTGCCTACAGCAGTGTCTAACCCCTACAAGGCCATGAACCTTGGCACACAAACACACCGCGTTCTCCGACGTCTCCCTTCGCAAAACAAAAACACACACACAATCAACACCGCTCCCTCACCTTGACCTCCTGGATGGTGTCGTTCACCTCCGGCGGGCCCCCCAGGGCAAACTTCCGCGGCGACCCCTCCTCCCTCGACGAGCTCGACTCCCTCGCGATCCTCAGCGCCGCCGCCGCGCTGTTGGCAACCTCCGCGCCGCCGTGGACCGGCGGCCTCGCCGCCGTCGCCGCTGGAGTCTCCGCCCCGGTGGCGGCGGCAGCAGGACCGGGGGCAGCAGCAGCAGC